CACTCCTCACCAGTTGTTACAGCCAGAAGATGTGGCAACTTCTCTTCTCAGCACTGAATCAAACAGAAGGCTGACCCTCTTCTAAGAGAATTCTGCCTGATGGTCTTTGAACTGGGTCAAACTTTTGTTTGATTCAGGTCTTTGACAGCTGGATGAGTCCCACTCACATCACAGAGAGAAGTCTGCTTTCCCCAGTCTGCCAATATAAATGTTTCCTTTCCCTTAATCCCAATACAGTTTCACAGAACAACTCAGAATAATGGCTGACCAAATACGTGAGCATCCTGTGGCCCATCAAACTGACACATAAAATTAACAATTATAGGCTCTGATTTGGGAGAAATCCAATTCACAGCATCAATCGTAGCTCATCATTTTGGAGAACACTCCTCAATTTGTAATGCGAGCAGGTACCTCTAAGTAGAATGTTTTATGTGAACCATCCACCTCCAGAACCATCTTTTGTGCTCTCTGATCCTTGTCCTCATTCCAGCAAATGGACTTTTGGTGACCATTGAGGAGGTGCTCTGGCCCACAGGGGAAACTGGTACTGTTGTCCATGAATTTGAGACAAGAAGAATCTTGGCCCCAGATGGAATGTGTGCACTTCAGTACCCCCTGCCTGACATTTCTCCTGGCCTTCAAGTATGTTTTGTCTCACTCTGGAGTAGGCAATTAATCCCTCTGATAGGGCGGTCTGCCAGTTGCTCACACCACCTTCCTTGCTCTTGGGTTGACTTCCTGGTAGGGAAGCCTACTCCAGTTGCCAAAACAGCTCCAATTGGTGTCGCTGTCCGTGGTGCTGACCAAAAGGTTCTGCATTGGGGTGCTGTCCAAAGGTTCTGTCCTTGGTGCTACCCAATGGTTCTCTTTATATATATTCAAGAAGATACTGCAGACTGAAAGAACAGATTTTGAAGTGTAGACTAGAATTCAAGAATAAATATGAGATTCTTGGCTTCTGCTGAGGTACATTATAGGATTTAGGGCTCTGACCCACTCACTCTGAAGAATCAACAGTTTCTTCTACATCATGTTCCCAGAAGAGATTCTGGGATTCCCCAAGTTGATGGAGTAGAGCTAAGAGCAACCAGGGCTGCAGCTAGCCACAGCAGAGGAGCCATTACACCTTAGCAACCCATAGTTGGAATTTTCCACTTTCTGTCAGAAAGCCCTGTGGATTCTATCTTCTAAATAAATATCCATTGCTTCCTCCCCCCACCTCCCCAAAGAGAAAGGAAGGGAGGGGGAAAGAGAGAGAGAAACATCAATGTGAGAGAGATACAACACATTGACCCAGGTACATGCCCTTGACTAGGAATCAAACCTGTGACCCTTTGGTGCCCAGGCCAATACTAACCATTGAACCACATGAGTGAGGACAATTCTATCTTCTAAATATCTCTTTTATTTAGTCTACTTCATCCCAGCTCCTCCACCCCTTCAACAACAACCTTGCTCCACTAGTCCTAACTACCATCACTGGGCATTGCTGGGGTCATCCTTTAGGATAAAATTTTAGCAGTTAACTAAGTTGAGGTTTAGGTTCGTTGTTAAGTGTTTTGTTTAAGTATGTGTATCAATTTGGATTCCCACCAACCTTGTATAAGAGTACCAGAACCGCCCTAACCAGTTGGATCAGTGGATAGAGCATTGGCCTACAGACTGAAGGGTCCCAGGTTCAATTCCAGTCAGGGGCACGTGCCTTGGTTGCAGGCACATCCCAAGTGGGAAGTGTGCCATAAGCAGCTGATCGATGTTTCTCATTGATATTTCTCTCTATCCCTCTCCCTCTCTGTGAAAAATCAATAAAAAAATATTTTTAAAAGAGTGCCAGAATCATTCTCTGATTGGTTCATAAGTGATTAAAGCTCTACAGCAATGCACTGATTTAAATCAAAATGGCACTTTTGTTATATACAGTATGTGCAAACTATACCTCAATAAAAATATTGGCCAAAAGAGCTTGGCCAGTTTGGCCTAGTGGTTGAGCATCGACCCATGACTCAAAAGGTCACAGTTGGATCCTGGTCAGGACACATATGTGGGTTCCGGCTGTATCCCCAGTGGGAGGCATTGCAGGAGGCAGCTGATCGATGATTCTAGTTTTTTTTTTTAATCCTCTTCCAAGGATATTTTTCCACTGATTTTTATTCATTTATTTATTTAATATATTTTATTGATTTTTCACAGAGAGGAAGGGAGAGGGATAGAGAGCTAGAAACATCCAAGAGAGAGAAACATTGACCAGCTGCCTCCTGCACACCCCCCACTGGGGATATGCCCACATCCAATGTACATGCACTGGACCGGAATCAAACCCGGGATCCTTCATTCCACAGACCGACGCTCTACCCACTGAGCCAAACGGGTTTCGGCTCCACTGATTTTTAGAGGGAATGAAAGGTAGGGTGAGAGACAGAAACATCAATTTGAGAGAGACACATCAATTGATTGCCTCCCGCATATTAGGTCTAGTAATAATTAATGTCGTTTTTAAACATTCGTTTAAAATCTTGCTTGGCGTTGACTTGTATTGACATAACCTTCAAACACGTGGTATCTACAGAACGTGTAAAGTGCAATTAACAAGTTTTGCTTGAAAAAGTTTGGTTTGGTTTTTGTTGCAAAACTAGGGCTAAGAAGATGGCGGATGAAGAGCATATTCGGCACTGCATGCTTTACAAGTTCCAATTAGGAAAAAAAGCAAGTGAGGCTGCAAAAAACATCTGTAGTGCTCTTGGTCAAGATGCAGTTAGCGCCAGAAAATGCCAGCGTTGGTTTGAGAAATTTCGCGAGGGAAATTTTTCGTTAGATGACAAGAGTGGTCGAGGCCGTGTGTCCAATTTTGATCAAGAAGCTCTTCAAGCTCTTTTGGTGCAAAATCCTCAAATTACCCAACAAGAGCTTGCGACAACTTTAAATTGTTCACAAAAAACAATTTCCAATCAATTGCGTGCACGTGGCAAAGTCCAAAAGTTTGGAAAATGGGTTCCTCATGAGTTGACCGACAACAACCGTAATCAAAGAGTCACAATTTGCAGTTCGCTCCTCTCTCGTCAAAACCGTTTGCCGTTTTTAGAGCAAATTGTTACTGGAGATGAAAAATGGGTGCTGTATGTTAATTTGAAAAGGCGGCCTCAATGGTTGGACAAAAATGAGGCTTCGCAGCCCACGCCAAAACCTGACTTGCATGCGAAAAAAGTGATGTTGTGTGTTTGGTGGAATTTTAAAGGAATTCTTCATTATGAACTTTTACCATCTAACCAAACCATTACAAGTGCAGTGTATAGTGCCCAATTGGAAAGGTTAGCCCAAGCTTTAAGAGAAAAAGAACCCGCGCTGATTAATCGGAAGGGCGTAATTCTTCACCACGATAACGCATGACCGCATACTGCAAGAATCACTGCTGAAAAATTGGGCCAGTTGGAATGGGAAATTCTCCCTCAACCTGCATATTCTCCTGATATTGCCCCTTCCGATTACCATTTGTTTCGTTCTTTGCAAAACTTTCTTCTTGGAAAAAAATTTAATAATGAAGAATGCCTCAAAAATGCATTGACCGAATTTTTTGCATCAAAATCACAAGAATTTTACAACAGAGGGATTAAAATGCTTCCTGAACGTTGGGCACAAGTAGTAGAAAACAACGGCAACTATATTGTTGATTAAATTTTGTTGTATTGTTTAAATAAATACGATTTTAAAAAGTATTAGAAAACGACATTAATTATTACTAGACCTAATACATCCTTATTGGAGCGGGGAATCAAACTTGCATCCCAGGCATGTGCTTTTTGACCAGCATTGAACCCATGACCCTTTAGTCGGAGGGCCGACTCTAGCCACTAAGCAAACCAGTCAGGGCTCATTATTAATGCTTCTATATCTCTCCTTTTCCCTTCCTCTCTATGAAATCACTAAAACATTTTAAAAATATATACGATATATTTTTAATATATATTTTATTGATTTTTTTTACAGAGAGGAAGGGAGAGTGATGGAGAGCTAGAAACATCGATCAGCTGCCTCCTGCACACCTCCCAATGGGGATGTACCCGCAACCAAGGTACATGCCCTTGACCAGAATCGAACTTGGGACTCTTGAGTCCGGAGGCCGACGATCTTATCCACAGAGCCAAACCGGTTAGGGCACAAACATTTAAAAAAAAAAAAATTTTTTTTAAAAAGGTTGACCAAAAGGAATGCATTTAGCCTGCGGGAGTGGCTCAGTGGTTGAACGTTGACCTGTGAACCAGTTCACCGCTGGCTTCTTGGTTGCAGGCTCGATCTGGACTTGATCCCCAATAGTACCGGAGGCGACCGATCAGTGATTCTCATCATTGATGTTTCATATCTCTCCCTTTTCCTCTCTGAAATCAATTGTAAAAAATAAAAAAACCCGAAACCCTTTGAGGCAGGTTCTGCTTTACAGATGGCGATGATGAGAGGCAGATTGCGCAAGAAACGCGCTCCAGTTCACCCGGGATCCGCAGAGAGGATCAGCGAGCTTCCTGAGACCACACAGCCAGCCGGCCGGCCAGCGAGCGGCCCAGCGAGGACCACATTCCATGCTTATCTCCCCCGCGTCCAGCCCTGAGCCCAGAACACACCGCCTTCCTGCAGCCCGGGAGAGGTGGGAGGGGTCCCTGCGAGGGCGGGCGGGCGGGGGAGGGGAGAGGCAGCAGCAGCCACGTCTGCAGCCAGGGGGGCTTCCGGGGGCTGCAGCCTCGCCGGGCGGGCTGATGCGGTGACGCCAGCGCCTGCGTCAGGGGCGCGGGCGGCGGGCGGCGGGCGGGCTGGGCACTGCGGCACTGCGCTCCGCTCCGCTCCATTGCCGCGCTCGTCCGCCGTCCGGCCGGCCGTGCCGCGGGAGCCCGGCAAGTGGTGCGCCGCCCGCAGCCCGCAGCCCGCTGCCCGCTGCCGCCAATCTTTGTTCCTGCGCTAGGCCCGCCCCCCGGAGCCGCCGGACGCACTGACAACCGGTGCGCGGGTGCGCCATGAAGTCCTCCTGGCGCGGGGGCGGCTCGGGCGGCCGCTGGGGCAGCGGCAGCGGCGGCGGCAGCGGATCAGGCGGCGGCAGCGGCAGCGGCGGCGGCAGCAGCTGGGGCCGAGGACGAGGACGCGGCAGAGGCGGCCACCACGGAGATGGAGGTGGGCAGGGCGGCAAGAGCGGCTATGGCTCGCAGGGTCGCTCCTTTAGCTCCCGGGGCCGCGGGCGCGGTGGCGGAGGCGGCGGCGGTGGCGCTGGAGGCGGTGACCGGGGCAGCTGGGACCGCAGCGGCGGCTGGGACCGTGGTGGCAGTGGTGGTGGCTTCGGCGGCGGTAGCGGCGGCGGCGGCGGCGGCGGTGGCGGCTGGGATCGCAGCAGTAGCCGGGACCGTGGTGGCTATGGTGGTGGAGGCGGTGGTAGCGGCTACGGTGGCGGTGGCTTCGGCTTCGGCGGTGGCGGCCACGGTGGCGGCGGCGGCTACGGCGGTGGCGGCCGCGGCGGCGGCTCCGCCGGCTATGGCGCATCCCGGCGCGGAGGCGGCGGAGGCGGCGGCAAGAACAAGAACCGCCGCAAGAAGGGGATGATGATGATGAGGGTGGTGACGGTGGAGCCGCACCGCCACGAGGGCGTCTTCATCTACCGCGGCATGGAGGACGCCCTGGTCACGCTGAACATGGTGCCGGGCCAGTCGGTGTACGGCGAGCGGCGGGTCACGGTGAACGAGGGCGGCACCAAGGTGGAGTACCGCACCTGGAACCCCTTCCGCTCCAAGCTGGCCGCGGCCATCCTGGGCGGCGTCGACCAGATCCACATCAAGCCCAAGTGCAAGGTGCTGTACCTGGGCGCCGCCTCGGGCACCACCGTCTCGCACGTCTCCGACATCATCGGCCCCGACGGCCTGGTCTACGCGGTCGAGTTCTCCCACCGCGCCGGCCGCGACCTGGTCAACGTGGCCAAGAGCCGCACCAACATCATCCCGGTCCTGGAGGACGCCCGCCACCCGCTCAAGTACCGCATGCTCGTGGGGATGGTGGACGTGATCTTCGCCGACGTGGCCCAGCCCGACCAGTCCCGCATCCTGGCGCTCAACGCGCACACCTTCCTGCGCAACGGCGGCCACTTCCTCATCTCCATCAAGGCCAACTGCATCGACTCCACCGCGTCGGCCGAGGCGGTGTTCGCGTCCGAGGTGCGCAAGCTGCAGCAGGAGGACCTGAAGCCGCAGGAGCAGCTCACCCTGGAGCCCTACGAGCGAGACCACGCCGTGGTGGTGGGCGTCTACCGGCCCATCCGATCCAGTTCCAAGAGCCGCAGCAGCAGCAAGTAGAGCCCAGCCTGGATGGACTGTCCCTGAGAGATCTCTGTGCCCCCCGGCTCCCCCCACCCCCCCACCTTCAGATCTTGCCGCAGTCAGTGTTACCGTGTCTGTGTGTGTGTTGTTCTCTTTTGTGTGCTGTTTTGCTCTTCTTGGCTTAACTATTAAATGGCATAAAGAAACCGTTATCCACTTGTATCCCTGAGCTGGATGGGGTTGGGTTTTGCCGCAGAGACAATCCCTGCAATAGTTGGTGCTGGGGCCCATCACGCCAATCAATCAGGGCAAGGACTCCCCTTGGGGGTGGGGGGGGTGAGGGGGGCTCGGGAGCAACTGGGGAATTGCTAATGAGCTTATAAAGTCGCCCTTGAAAAGGAGGGCGGAGGGGCACTTCCTATACTTGGGCCAAGTCACATCCCTCCAGAAAGGGGCGTTGGGTATGGATAAACAGTCCTCTAGCTGAACACACCCAGTCTTGTCTTTCTCCCACCTCCCTCTGCTTCCCTTTTCTTAGATTTCAAAACAGCAAAAAAAGGTGGAGGGAGAAGGAGGGAGTGGAAGAGGGAGGAGGGGGGCAGGGGGAGGAGGGAGGTGAGTCCCCTTCCAGAGTCCCACTGTGAGGCATCTCACACACCCAAAGTGGCCTGCGAAGTGTCAGTGTCGAGAAACAACTGGGGAAAAAATGATAACCAGGAAGATCCCGTCTCTGAAGAGTGTTTCCTGCAGACCCTGAGCAGCTGGACTCAGTGCATCGCACTGCGGTTCTCTCCAGGGAGGGGGAGCAGTGCCTGGAGAGCTGGGCGTGCTCCACACGAGGCCGGAATAAGGCCTTTCCTTCAGTCACTCACTCACACATTTGAAACATCCCCATTCCCAGGTGCCTAGGCGGTGGCCACGGAGCTGGGAGTGACCGCTCGCTAGCACAGCAGTTGGACAGTGGGCCCCGCAGACCTGGTCGGGCAGAGGTTGTGGTGAGTCTGCGTTTTCTGAGGACATGCTTTTTGAACAACAACAACAACAAAAAGAGAGAAGATAAATCAGATTTGTAACAAGGCAGCTCCCCCTTCTCACTCCTCCCCCGTCACACCCACACAGCTACAACATGGGGGTGGTGGAGAGAGCGCCCATTCAGAGTTGTTGGCCAGGCTGACTCGGGAAGAGGAGGGTGAATGGAGTATACACATCTACAAAAACCCGAACCAGACATTTCCATGGCGTGTCAGCTCCTGCCCAGCCGGTGTGGCTCAGTGGTTGAACGTTGACCCTTGAAACAAGAGGTTGGTGGCTTGTTGCTAGTCAGGTCACATGCCCGTACCTCAGTACTGGGCATGCAGGAGGCAGCCGGTCAAGGATTCTCTCTTACCATTGACGTTTTTAATCTCTCTATCCCTCTCCCTCTGAAAATCAATAAGTGAAACAAACAAACAAAAAACCCAAACCAGTCCTAATTAAAAAAAAAAAAAAAGGTTAAAATGTAAAGTCTTCATTACATCCCGGCAAAGCAAGGGTCCTTACTCCCGGCTCACAGGTGAAAGACTGCAGATCAGACAGGTGATGGATGAGCTTTAACGTAAGATGCCCCAGGTAAGGTCACACCCAGCATCCAGAACCACAGGAATCTCACTCCAAACCCTACAGCCTTTCCTCCCACGGAGGTCTGTGCTGGCTCATTTGCTTTGAAAACCCCTCTCTCCAGTCCTAGGCTCATGAATTCATTGCTGGGTTGAAACCCCGAGGCTGGGGATCGACACCTAGGGCACAGATTCCTTTCAGAATCTCACAGGATCCAGCCCTTCCTCAGCGGCTCAGCCTGCAGGAGCAGCCTGGCTTCTTTCTGACAGGTGTCTGTGGCCCAGGAGGGGGACAGAGCACGGGGACCTGGATTCTTTCTTCTGCAGGAGCATGCGTGCACACACACGACACACCACACACACACACACACACACACACACACACACACAATTCAGTCTTTGATGTGGGACCGCATTGGACAAATGGCATGAAAACAACCAAAGGGTGTCTCTGCATTGCAGATGGATTCCTGGCCAATGGGACGACACGGTAAGTACCAAGAGGAATATGGGAGTCAGGACTAAGGGATGTGGCAGGGAAGGTCCAGGCTGGAGGGCCCCCCCCCCATCCCCCCGTGGGCAGGGAGGCCCAGGACACAGGTAGCAGTGACACAGCATCCCCCCTCCCCCCACCTGCCCAGAGCCGAGGATGTATGTGTGAGTTCCCAGGAGGCTGGACAGGGGGGGTCTCTGGGTGTCAGGAGCTGCTCAGGCTGTCACAACAAAACACTGCAGTCTGCGTGCCTTCTGCAACAGACATTTATTTCCTCCCAGGTCTGGAGGCTGCAAGTCCGAGGTGAAGGTGCCAGCAGGTGGTTGGTTCCTGGTGACGCCTTCCCTCTGCTGCAGGCTGCCTCCTCCCTGTGTCTTCCCGCAGCCTTTTCTCTGTGTGCGCCCCGGTGGGGGTGGGGCGAAGAGAGAGCGATGGAAGGAGAGAGGAGGAGGGGGGAGAGAGAGAGGGGAAGAGATATCGCTGGTGTCTCTCTTCTATTTTTTTTCCCCTTCCTATTTAATTTATGAGGATGACACTTGTTAGCAAAATCCTACAGGTTTTAGGCGCACAGTTCTGCAACACATCATCTGCACCCTGCCCTGTGTGCCTGGCAGCCCAAGCCAAGACTCCCTCCATCACCATTTATCCCTCCCCCCCCCCCCGAGCCTCCTCCCCCTCCCCACCCTGGGTCTCCTCTTCAGACCCTCACCAAATTAGAGCCCCACCCTGAGGATCTCTGGTAACCTTACAGACCGCCTTACTGTCCCCATCTCCAAATACAACCTCCGGGAGGGCTAGAGCCTGGACATTTGAACTGGAGGCAACACAGGTCAGCCCACGAGCCTCGGGCTGGATGGGCGCGCTCAGCTGCAGGAGCCTGCCTCCCCGGCTCTCGAGGCCTGGCGGAGGATCCGCTGTGCCACGTGAATCCTGTCTCTCCTCTCAATGTCAACATCAGGTAACAGGCAGCTGAGAGCTGCGGGCTGGCAGAGGGGCCAGGGGTTGTGTTGGGGTGGCGAGGGCTTAGCAGGCCTCCCGAGAGGTCTGCTTTCCCACGAGGAGCTGGTGAACTCGCCGCCGTGAGAGTCAGAGGACAATCAGCTGGGGAACAGGAGCCATCATTCCCACCGCAGGTGCGGGGGATGGGGAGGTGGAGGCTGGTGCTCAGCCCCGGGAGCTGGGCCTCAGGCCCACAGCAGGCGGCAGGGGCCAGCAGGGAGCACGCAGGTCTGACCTCCTGCAGGCCGCGGCCCCCTGCCCAGCTGCCTCTGGAAGGAAGGAAGGGAGAAGCCCCGGGGAACGGACCTTTGTCCAAAGGAGGCTGTTTTACACCAGCAGAAACCCCTTCCTTTAAGTCGGCAGTTTGCCTCCCAGCTGCAGCCCTGCTACGGAGGGGCAGGCCGGGGCATGTCTGAGCCGCAGTGAGTACGCTTGGGTTCTTCTACACTCGTATTTATCTATCGGGCACGTCTGTCCTAGACGGAGCGGGCTGAGCATTGCTCTGACTTTGGCATGCATTGTTTTAAAACTGAGGAGGAGGAGAACGGGCTCCAGAAAGCCCGAGTCCGAGGTGTTCGGCTTCTTGTGCCTGGCAGTGGAATGAGCTCCCCTGATGGTGGTGGGGCTGCCTGTGCATGGCCCGAGCCTCTGTCTCCCCACCCCCCGGGCTGGCACACACCCTGGGAGGCCTCAGGAGCCGCTTCGGCCTCAGGTCCCAGAGGAGTTTCCAACAGCCTCCTTCCGTCCCCTCTCAGGAGGATGGCCTGGGGGAGACGGGGAAGCAGGTGCCCTGGGCCAGAGGCTTGACCCACAAGCTGGGGACATGGGCTTGTGGGGGGCCATGGCAGGCGTTCCCTGTGGACTTCTTGCCCCTGGGACCAGGTTCAGACAAGTTGGTGGAGCTGGAAAGAGGGCGATGTGGGATCTTGTGGAGCAGATTCTGCCTTTCTGGGTCAGTAAATGAAGATCAGGTGCTCTGGAAGGCCTCACAGGTGATTCTAATGTGTGTGCAGCCCTTCTCCCCCCTCCCCGCCCCCCCCCCCCCCCCCCATCTAAAATCCTGTGATGGGAAAAGGCAGACTTAGGACATGCTCTGAACCACAGCTGAGCTTTCTTGCGTGTGCCCTGCTGGTACTCGCCCTGCTGGTACCCGGGCCTCTGTGACGGCACAGATTCCAGAGGGCTGACGCCTGTGCCGGGACACAAGACTGTTGACGTGTGTGTGGATGGTGCTGGTCAGAATGGTGCTGTGGATGGCCTGCTGAGCCCGGAGGGGGGCGGGGAGGGGGGCGAGGGAGGATGGGAATGCAGGGCAGCCCAGATCTGAGTGGCTCAGAGAGCAAGGAGCCACACATGAGGGTCCAGTGTTGACAGGTGGTCCCGCTTACAGGGTGCGACCTGGCGGCTCTTCGCCTTCACGGCGGAGCAGGGGAGGCTGAGCCTGTGCAGGGGAAGCTGGGCTTCAGAGTTAGAGCTTTGGTCTTTCCTGGGGCCGCTGATCTGTGTGTGTGTGTGTGTGGGGGGGGTCCTCTCCCGGGACCCTGGGCTGCACACCCGCAGGGAGCCCGGCGACAGGGGGTGGGGAGGACGGGGGCGGGTATCCTGCAGGTGCTGGGCTGCTGGGGTTTTGGGACGCTGCTTTGTGTTTTTCCGCCCAATTATATCTGTGTGCCAGGCGCGTGCAGCCGTGTTCGTGAATGACAAGCACTCATTTGTGCTTCTTTGCGCTTCCAGGGCGGCGCTCAGTAAACACACAGGCTGTCCCTGCTGCTTTGTACAGTCAGCGGGGTTCAAGGCCTTTGCCCCTCTGGGGGCCCATGTGAGTGTTCTGAGCACGTTTGAGGTGGGCCAGGCTCTGGGGTAGGTGAGGTGCATATTTTCCACTCCCCGCTGCGGGTTATCAGGAGCATCTGTACCGACTCTCATGGAATCTGCCAGAGGCCAAACTT